AATCTCATTAAAAAAGTTGCACTAATTTTACATTATTCATGATTTGTTTTTGAATCAATCATATCCCATATTATAGACTTCTCCTCCCTTTTCAGCAGGACTGTTTAAAGAGCAGAGCCTTCATGGTGGTATGATAAGATAATGAGCCATCGATATATGCCGGGGGGGGGTTGATTGCGTATTTGCGCTTTAACCCACCTTGTGCGGTTCGAGCCCATCGACACAAATGCAAACATATGTGACAGTCTGTGTCGCATGCGATCACTATGACATTAGTCTTTGGAGGTCATTAGCTGGTGTTGGGCCAATTACATTCTTTGCATACTGAACTAATCTGTGGCTCTGCTGTCGAGGTTCCTCGCCATTAGTGTGTTTGCTTATCCATTTCCTTCCCTCCCTCCAATTAACATGTCCCTCACTCTGGGTTTGTTCTGACGGTGTGTGTTGCTGTGACGCCTGTCCATCACCCTGAGTCCCTCTGAAAAGACACTTTAAAAGTGAGAACAATGCTGCCACCTCTCAATCACCGCTGAGTGGTATTGGTACTCAAATGAGTGTTCTACCCTGGGGTGTGTTTTGTCTTGCTGGGTTTCTTGGCCTGCTCTGTGATGAATCTTAACTGTAAGCAGGGCTGTCGTGCGTTACCGTGGCGAGGGCTGAGGTGAGACAGGCGTCATCAGTGACGCGGTTGAAAGCAGGGCGGATTGACAAGCGCGGGGTTCCAGTACAGGGAGTCTCTCATCCACTGCTCTGCCCCTCCTGCGCTCTTCTCTGGGCCCTCTGGAAGAGCCATCAGGCCCCAGAGGCACCCAGCAGGCAGCCTACTCCCTGCAGCCAGGCACAGGGCCTGCCTGCCCTCCTCTTAACCCCAGGAGCATCGACAGCCATCCCAACCACCGCAGGGGTCCTCTGGCCCAGCCCCCTGCTCTTCTCCCTCTCTCTTCTCTGCTTTTTCTTTCCCTCCTTCTTTGACTTTTTATAAAAAAAAATTTCTGTCTTAACTAAAGCTCTGACACTTGTTCTCTGTCTCTCAGACCCCCAGTGCTCTCATTTTCTCTCTCTCATTCAATTCCAGTTTAAAAGTCCTTTATTGACATGATTGTGTTTACATACAATATTGTGAAAACGTTATACACAAAACAAGTAATGACTAGAAAAATAAATTTACAATATAACAATAAAAACAATGATACAAAATGTATTTAAAAAGACATTATATAAATATAAATACTTTGACTTTTTATAAAAAAAAATTTCTGTCTTAACTAAAGCTCTGACACGTGTTCTCTGTCTCTCAGACCCCCAGTGCTCTAATTTTCTCTCTCTCTCTCATTCAATTCCAGTTTAAAAGTACTTTATTGACATGATTGTGTTTACATACAATATTGTGAAAACGTTATACACAAAACAAGTAATGACTAGAAAAATAAATTTACAATATAACAATAAAAACAATGATACAAAATGTATTTAAAAAGACATTATATAAATATAAATACATATATATAATAGACATTATCAACAAATTATGAAGAAAAAAATACTATATTTGTAGAATTAAAAATTCTGTAAGTTAATTAAAAAAATTGACTTGAGTAACTAGTAATGTTACCCCTCAAATTAAAAAAGAAACACTTAAAGACAGAAAAAAACAAAAGTTTAATATATTTTATATTTTAAATATATTTTCTGATTAATTTTACAATGAAATGTATAAATATGTATTTAAAAAAACAGAGAGATTTCTCAAAATATATTCTTTTATATTCCACAGAATGAAGAAAGTCATACATGTTTGGAACAACGTGAGTAAATAATGATGATTTTCATTTCAATGTGAACTATCCCTTTATATTTCCTAACTTTACTATTCTCTTTATATTTGTATATTTCTTTTTACTTATTTTCTCAGTTTAAAAAAAAAATGCATTTAATGTGTGGAAATACACAAGTAACAATGACAGAAAAGAATGTACAACTGCCATCAGGTCTGAAAAAATGTCAGTTATTCCAGTAATTCCACTCTGGCACCTTGCCCACATCAGACATGGTTGTCAACACTTCAGGAGAGCTATGTGCTTTCCAGGAGTGCCATTCCACCCTCCACATATCTGCCTCTCTCTCTTTTCTTTCTCTCTTTACAGATCCAATCCATCAAAAGAGATACATTTTTAAGGGCCGAATGACTTTTAGAAATGTTTGGTCATATAAAACTAATCAAAAATGCAATTTCCATTGAATATTTAAAACCAGAAGATAGCTATCGACCAAATTGTTGGCAGAAGCCTTGCATTAGGGACATTTAAATCCAATTTAGAATGAATTAGCATGATCTTGTGCTTGTTTAATAGTGATTACTTCATTAAAAAGTCTCAAATGACATCCATGCTACACTTAAGAGAGATATTATGAGATATTTATTGTAAATCCTTCTGCAAAAATGCATCTTTTCTCCTTTAGCTCTGTTCTTGTGTATTCAGGTGTTTATGTTTTTGTGCAAATGTGTGTGTTGACAGCAGCTCATCTGCAGATTAGTCATCCTGCAGTTGATTAGGCAATGAGCAACAGACAGTTAGACACAAAGTTAACCAGGAGCCCAGTTCTGCCTCAGGCTGTGCTGAAGTACTCAGCCATGGAATGAGATGGTTGACTTTTCAATGCTCCATTAATATCGCTCCACTTAAACACCAAGCCCAATGTATACAAAAAAGAAAGAACGAAAACATGTCATGTCCCAAGACCTTCCCAAGTACCAGAAGAAAGCATGAGGAAGTATTTCCTGTAAAAGCAGAGATATCACCGGGTATTTGAATTCTACTGCACAGATCAATTGCTCATCACAATTGCTCACAAATTAACATGAAAACAAAACTTCAGAGAATTGTTGATTGGCAAAATGGACATGCACATATGACATAAGGCTAATAATTTGTACTAATAAGACATTAGAGCTTATCAATAAAATGCATTGTTTATGGAACAACATTTTGCTGTTTGTCTATTTATTCAAAGGTATGTTTAATATGATTTACATAAATATAATTAGAATCCCTTATTGAATCTCATTAGTCATGTAGAATAGGGAGAGCCGTTGTGTTGTAACATTTTAACATCTGTAACTCAAACTTTCATATAGTAATATTCCCTTATTTATCTGCCACAAATTAGTTTAGAAATCCACTATTAATCTCTAAACTGTGTAAATTAAGGTCAAATACAAAGAGTGTTGCTTTTCTTATCTATTTACCTACTTTTAAGACTAATAGAAAACAACAGTTTAAAATTTTCTGCTTGAATTCATTGAAGTAGGCTAATCAATTTTTCTTCAAAATATTTAAAAAACACACTGGAAACATTTGAAATAAAAACTAAAAAAAGCAAATCAATTTGGAAACAAATATAGAAATACATAAAACGTTGTTAGTTCACAATTGTTACTTCCCGGTCGACCTTAAACAATTTATGAATATATAGGCTATAGATTGTACCTTACACCTGCAACAGTTTTGAGTGGCGCCCTCCTGTGGAACAAAGTATTGTTGCATGGGATATTCCACAGCTCATATTCCTCAAATTAGTGTTTAGTAGAGTTTTTCGTAGTCCATTTATTCACATAAAGAGAAGGTGTTTGTGGTGACAGCGCACACAAAAATCATTATTACAAGCGGTCTAATATCATGCCATTTGTTGGTGACATTTTAATTAATTGCTGATGAAATAAGTTTCACTTGTTGTAGATATTGACCCTTTCATCTTCAACATTTCATTTGACGGGCGTGGGCAATAAGGCATTTAACCCGTTTAAAAAGCTGCGATTAAGGGGCGACCTCTCTTGAGTGATGGTGGGCCATCAGAATTTACTCTGATGTCGGTTTTTGAAAAGTAACATAATAGAGGGTGGGGCCGATTTATTTTGACGTTTAATTGGTCCAGATTAGAAATAGATTGATCGACTCGATCTTTTTCTTTGCTTGACTAATTGTTTGCTTCGTAATTTTCGCACATCTCACATTTTTTATTTAGGCTGATATTTGAAGTATATATTTAGTTAACATTAAATGCATTTAAATTACATTTCAGATCAGTTGTAATTTAGTATTATGCCTGATTTAGTATAAAATGTAGCCTATGCCATTTAATGACAGATTCTTACAGACTTTTATGTGAGTTTAAAGTGCATTGTCAGTGCTTGACAAGAAATGGGACACTTCACACCTGTGTTATCCTTCTGATGTTTTAGGGATTTTTCTTTTGAGAAAAAAAAACGCTAATCGTCTGTAATCCTTTTAATATGTCTCACACTTTCCTTTTGCAATACACAAGTCAGCGGCAAACCAGTTCTGCAGTCTGCTGCCTTGCACAATAGCCTCGGTTTCAGTTTTGAAATCAGAATTCACTCATTTTAGCTACTTGATGTTTGATTACTGTAGGTTTGGATGAGAATATATATTTCTATTTATATGTTTTTTTTTAAATATTTTATTTTATTTGTTATTGCCTGTTCAGTAAAGTCCTAAATGAATGATTGTAAATAACTTGACGTTTTATTATTAACCGAGCATATGAACGCGCGCTCCTCTAAACTCCTCCGAGTGCTTATGGACTCAGGTGAAGGCATATTTAAAAATGGTTCGGGGTGGGGGTTTGGGTGAGACCCCCCTGCTTTTGTTCTATTGAAAAGGGGGCTTGTTCCTCCAGGACCAACCCTACCATTTTAACCAGGGGTGTCAGCGCGAGCGGGGTTGACATTGGAGACTGACTGGCAATGGGAGAAGAGGAGGGGATAAGAGAGTCCAGCAGCACTGCTTCTTGAAGAAAGCTCATCAGATGCACTGTCCTGCCTCCTCTGACTGACATTCACGAAGGAGTCAGACTGGATCAAACGTCAAAGGATCTATTTCTGCTGCGCTCCTCACCTTCATGGACAGCACGGGACTTGAGTCTGTATGATTAGGTGCATCAGAAGCTCTTTCGCTAAAACTTGAAAAGTAAATCGTTTACATGCTGTGAGTTTTGCGTTAAGTGCACTTATTTGTTATTCTCGTTCTTATGAAGGAAATCCAGTTAGTGCTTATACTTGTCACCGGTGTCAGTCTGGTAATTGTTTCTGCCTCTGAGCAGCAGATCTCGTAATTTGCCAGTTGATCTGTTCATCATATGTTGTGGGTCACAGTTTGGATACCAGCGCAGGACTTTATACATTTCATCGGGAAAACCTGATTTTTTTTTTTTTAATCTTTGCAAATTAGGCTACACACATTTTTTTTTTTCTGTGAGGCCCTTCCATTCCAGCAACATGAGGCTCATACCATCACGATTGAGTTATCTGTAAGTATATTTCCTTTATTATTTGTTTTCACACATCAACAGCTTCGCTTTCCAGAGTCTAATGTGAGATTTTCTCTCTTCTTGCAGATTCCTTCACCTCTTTGCGTTTTGCTACTATGCTCAGGTATGTGCAACATCTTTAAATATGCTTTTTACTGCCATTTTATTAAATGCTTCTTATTTTAATTTACCTACACGTATTGTTAGAGAAACTGTAAAGCACTATTACTCTAATATATCAATTCCATACTTAGCCTAAATAATATAGCTGCAGAGTGCGCGCGCTCCTAAATTAAGATTTATATTTTATTTAAATATACCGTTGTTTTGCATAGAAATGCACGTAGCTATAGCCGTTAAATTAAAAGGCTCTAAAAGTGCGATGGGAGAGGATGTTCTTATCAGATGGGTATCACAGTGGGCGCTGTAACCTGGCAGGTAACACTAACATACTGGCACAGGCGCGTGGGCATGAGCGCGTGAAGTATGCCAGCCTCGAGTCAGCGATGAAACATGTCGTGGAGACATAATAACATAAAGGGCTCGACTTAAGCGTTTAGGACAGTTTGGCTTGAAATGTAATTTATTTTAAGCCACAAACGACAGTTTTCCTAATAGCGCATTTCGTTTTCTACAATCCCAAATAAAAAATTAATACGTTACGTACACGTTTTCTCATTTCGATTGCATTAGGCCTATTTTAAATGATTATATTGGAGCGCGGTGTAATTTATAGGCCCGTATGAACGAATGATGAAGCAGTTCGTGCAGGTATTGATTATATGGTATTTAATTTCTGACAGGTAACCATTCAGTCCCCGCCTAATTTTACACAGCATGTGAGTGATCAAAGTAAGGTGACGGACCGCGTCAGCCGTAGACTAATCCGGACCTACCAGCTTTACAGTCGAACCAGCGGCAAGCACGTGCAAGTTCTGGCCAACAAGAAAATCAACGCAATGGCCGAGGATGGTGACGCTCATGGTAAGAGCATCTCATTATTTATCTTGCACAAAATCATGTAATCTGTTTACACAAACCGTGAAACCTTCTGTGGCGCTTTGAGGAATCATTTTAAATGCGTTTTGCATGTAAATATTTTGCTAATTACATTGAAGAACATGTTTAATAGGCTACGGTTCTTCAGTGGTTCTTTGCATGGGGTCTTCAGTTCACTATATTGTTCTTTCGAGATCGAAAAGCCATTTTATTGTAGGTTCTAATAGATTTCGAAGTGTCTAAACCACAGCTACATAGATGTTTTCTGAAGAACTAGAATGAAAAGCTCTTTGTGAACTATAGATGATATCAGGCTGTAAATGCCATTTCTGGGTCTAACTGGAACTGTATTTATGTTTCTTTATTTTGTGGATATCTATGGTACGCTGCATTTGAATAGCTGGGCATCTGTTCAGTTGGTGAAGTTAAAAAAGCAGTGGAGTGCAAAAAATGTTAAATGGATTCTAGATTGTTGAAGGTGAGTCTCTAGAGAGACGCGCGGGTCTGGAAGAGCCATTAGAACTCATCTTACTTCAACCTTCTGAACATTTCCTGAAGAACGTTCCCCTCCTCTCCCGACCAGCTCAGGATGAAAATATGTCTAGCCGAATTCTGACCCTCACTTTTGCTTTCTATGGTCATTCGGTCCTGATGGCAGATCTCATAGAGCCTAAATCTAACTGTTTTAAGTATTTCTAGGATCAATTTGATCATTAATGTGTATGTTTGGTTTTATAAAATCATACATCAGTGATTAAGTGTTCTATTAATTTTTGTTTAATATGATAATTTATACAATCATAAGTTAAAATATTGTAAAAGCTCCTCACTAAAGATTTCATACAGATAAACATTATGAAAAAAATAAAAACATTTCGCTTACATATTTAATTTGTTACTTTACCTAAATCAGATCTCTTTTATTTGTAGCTCTCACTTATGTGGTTTCTCTACATGCAAACCCAATAATTACCAGCTCTGTTGTGGTATTTTTGGAAGCCTGGCTCTAGCTCTGCATGGTTTTGGTGACATCCATGTCACCTGAGCATGTTGTAGAGACAGCAGGGCTGTTAGTTCGGGCCAGTGCCTGGCTCCGGCTTTGGGCTTGTGGTTAGGCTCTTCACCAGCAGGTTATCTGACCCCCTCCATTTGAACCGTAACTCTTTACGATCACTCAGAGTATGGGGGCTGAATCAGAGAATGGCTGCAAGTGCTAATTCTTGGCATGGAGAATTTCCATCATGGAAAGTCAGTTTCCCTGCAAACACTGCCTTGATTTTCTTATAATACACCTGAACTGTTAATGTACATTTAATAATGAATAAAAAATAAATAAAAATAAGTGATTTTTAAAAGTATTATTGTATATTTGTATTTTTAAATGGTGCATTTAACTCAAATATTTAAAAGTTCTTTATTTTTTGGTACATGGATGATGTGATAACAATTCACATAATGTTTATGTACTTACATAAAAGGTAAAAAGTTGAAAGTCCTGCCAGGAAGCCTTTGGTTTCTTCCAGAAGAATTGAAGTACACATGTTTTTATCGTTCTACTAGAATTTAAGCTTACATAAATCCTAAAGAGTAGGCCCTTTAGATTTCACATATTTATGCCGGTGTGCATATGTGCACGTGTGTTTACTTATGAAATTTTCCCATTGATTGACTGATCGTAATTTAGATTTTCCAAGTCACAGCATCTAATAAAAAAATCTTCTTTCCTTTTTCCAGCCAAACTCATAGTGGAGACGGACACTTTTGGGAGTCGAGTTCGAATTAAAGGAGCTGAAACGGGATTCTACATCTGTATGAGCAGAAGAGGGAAACTGATTGGCAAGGTATGAGGAAAAAGTCATTATATAATCATTTTGTCACTGATAATAGTGCTCAGTTTACATATTCTGTTATACACACACAGCATATGTTTCAGTCACTTTTCTGTTCGGATTGAAAGGTTTTTGATGAATGAGAATAAGAAGAGAAAGATCAGATAAATTAGAAATTCAGAAACATTACTCGTATAGTCATGTAGTAGTTTCAGCATTCAATTGCTTGTGGATGTCCCTGATTTTATCATTATTAGGGAGTTCATTCAAATAATCAAACGAGTTAGATTTTTATCTTATAGTGGACACCAGACGTCTCCTGGTTGCAGTGGGTAAAATCGAGTGTGAAGAATGGGATCTTTCTTCCTTTTTTAGCTGGCTACTCTTGTTCCAATGTGGATTTGTGCCTTCTCCTTGCTGTGAATGGTAATAAAGTGGGATGGAGGTTCGGCCCCCACCTCCCAGCACCCTGCCAGGTGGACCATCTGCTTGGCACCCCTGATCTTATGCTATCTGACATATTGGCCGCCCAACGACAGCCTGCATGAGAGAGGGTTTTTTTCTGTTGTTGGTTTTTATTGGTTGATATGCAAGCGTTTTGGATTTGAGATTTTTAACAGGCCATTTTGTTAAGAGGCTGGGGAAAGGTTTGGACTCCTGGTTTGGCTCCTTACCCCGTTTGCATTTACTGGCCCGATAACGTTTAAAGGTCCTGTTGTTATGAACGTACAATGATGTGATGCCTATATTAAAGGCAAAACTAGCTTTACCATATAGTGTTTATATTGTTCAATGTCCTGGAGAAAGTAAAATATTACCATAATACCTTCTGGACTCAACTTAATACGGTTTATGCCTATATAATGAACAGTAGAAGAACTATTTTTCTCAGAGGATGAATCTGCACTGGTGTTTACTGAAAGGGGAAAGTCATTGGCTTCTGCTGTCATTTCTCCCTCTTGATCTGGGATCGTAATGACTTAAGCATATGCTGTGTGCGTGTGGGGAAGCCCTATGTAAACTGGAGCAGACCTTTTCCAAAATACTTTTCGATAAGCTTCATATTTCCCATCAATCAGGAGCTGAAAGTTTGTCTTTATCTTGTTCTCACAGAGAAACGGTCAGGGGAAAGACTGCATTTTCACAGAGATAGTCCTGGAGAACAACTACACAGCTCTGCAGAATGTGAAGTATGAAGGCTGGTACATGGCCTTCACACGCAAAGGCAGACCCCGCAAGGGCTCCAAAACCAGACAACACCAGCGGGAAGTCCACTTCATGAAGAGGCTGCCCAAGGGACACCAAATCGCAGAGCACAGACCCTTTGATTTCATCAACTACCCTTTCAACAGACGGACTAAACGCACCCGGACAACTCAGGAGAGCGTTGAAGAGTGAAGCCAGAGAAAAGGAGAGGACAGAGAGCGAGAGACTTTCTCAAACAATGAACAGACTCCTCTTGTGGACTCCTACAAACATTTTTTTTTGTACTGAGCAACAATATACCTAACCTTTTAGTTTTTTATGAATTTTCAGAAATAACAAAAAAAGAAAAAAAAACATCTCGAGAAAAAAAGAGATCTATTTTTGTACCCCTGACTTTTAGTACTGACCTGTGTAAGAGTATAGAAAAGCGAAGCACGGGACGTGTAAGTGCTGACATTTTAGTAGTACATGGACTTCATCCGTCTATCCTCTCTTGATCTGCTTTGGTTTCATTTGATTTCGATGGTTTTAGAGTAATTTATAACTCTTCGTATTGCTGCTCAAGGGGACTTGAAGGGCCTGAGAGAATGCACTGACAACACAAGGCTGTATTCGGTTACACAGGCAGCCGGGGCACCTCTCGACCACCCAGCGATAAGATACCCAGCTCATCTCTCAGTAACCTCTCTGGTTCTTGATTCTGGAACTCTCTGGAGATAAACACGGTTAAAGCAAACAGAGCTTTAAATACATATTTCAATGTGGCAGCTACATTTTGATTATCGCAGGTTTCCTACCGTGGTTTAAACTGTAAATTCCAAGGTGTATAAATGCATTGTACGGACTGTAGGAAAAGCTTTTGTTCTTCGTTGCATTTTGTTTGTCTGTTTTTTTTATACAAATATAAATATATTTTTATTTGAGGATGTGTAAAATAATTTTAATGATGGAAATATTTATTTAAAAACCTGTAATAAATTTACCTTAGGATACTGACGTCTTTTGTCTAATGTGTTCTGTTCTAATATGAACTTTTCCAAAATTGTTTAAAAAATGAAATTTCTTTGTTCTGTGGAACATACAAGAAGATAGCTTTAAAAAATGTTTGTGGAAAACGTCCATGGACTGATTATTTGGACAATGTTCAATTTTCTGAGACATTTTTCAAAATATCTTCTTTTTGATACAGGTTTGAAATTGCATGATGGTGAATAAATAATGGCATCATTTCATTTTTGGGTGACTATCCCTTTAAATAACACACAAAATAAGTGTATAAAAGGCATCTATACATAGTTAAAATTGCCAAAGGGTCTTTTCCAGAAGTGTTCTAGACGTTCCAATGGCCTCGTCCATAGAAAATTAGGCCAGTGCGGTCTTTGTATGAAACAACTTGTCATTATGCAATAGCATCATAATAAATACCACCATTGTTTGCATAACCCTTCTGGTTAGAGACCAGTACAGAGTGAGATGGAGATACTGGGTCTCTTCCCCCAGAATGTTTGGAATGGCACAGCTCAGGTCAACGGCTCAGTAGGACTGTCTCTCCAGGGGGGCTACACTGTTTGGTCTCTCCTCTGGTTGAACCGGACACACTACGGCTCCCTGGCCCCGTCTCCTCACCCTCGATCAGGTGTTTTTGTTTAATCTCAGACCTTTAACTCCCTGTAGCTTAATCTGATTGGAGGGGTATCTGTTTTGTCCGGGCAGGGGTGCTGTGTGTTTGCGGACAGGGTTCCAAGGAGCCAAAAGCCAGAGGGCAGCGTATAGTGAGAAAACGAGAACCGGGGATTTGTGGTGTGAGATCACTATCTTGCTCTTGTCTGTGATGAGGAAGATTATTAATGACTCCTCTCAGCCTGAGATATGCATTACTGCAGTTATAATGCTATGTAAATTACGATCAGAGGGGGGAAAAAATAGACATTTTCTGATCCCTTTTTAATCAAATTAATTGCATCATAAAATTCTAACCGATTCAGCCAAAAATCATCCTCTAATTAGTGTTGGCTTGACACATCTCATGCATCATTGAAAAACGTGTTATGCAGGTACATTAGCGAAGGCTGGCATTGTTTTTATGGTGCAATACACCATGTGTTCTGCCTCATGTTATACTAGTAGCTCAGCCAGGGTGCAGAGGTCAAACTCCTAGAAAGGCCAGAGCTTCAGAATGTTTCTTTGACTTTCTAGTATGCCGGTTTAGTTCCATTCAGCTGTGATGGACCAACAGTGTAATCCAGTTCAATGGATGGTAATCAATTAAGGAAAAAAGCTTATTGACATTTCTAAATAAACTACTTAGGAGACAAACCGTACATGTTTTAAATCTAAAACTGACAAACAAAGAAGGGCAGACTTAAGATTATAGGGCAACTGTTAATTTAAATCGATTTAAATGTTTAGATATTTTATTTCATGATTTTTAAAAAGGGATTAGGAAAACATATTAAACCATACAACCATATTAAAATATGTACATGCACATACACTATAAAAATAATTTTTCAAAGTTGTACAAATTTTGTAAAAACAAAGATAATTGTAGCACGTTTTACCAGAAAATACTATTTCATTTTTTTTTCCTACTTCAAAATGGCATGTTTATTTCAATGTGTTACTAGCTGTAATAGTTTGTGAAATTTACTTGCAATTTTTCACACCACAGAACAATGTAAGCAAAGCAGTGAATGAAAAATCTGATTAAGATGATAAAAAAAATAAATAATAATAATTGGTGACCAGGAACTGGATCTAAAATACACCCAGAAACCCAGACATTGAGTTCATGCACATGTTTGATGTCCCCCAAGCTTTTAGTTTGGTGCTAGTGTTATCAAATAAATGAACCACCGGAACAACCAATTGACTCCCTGTTTTTTCACATTGATGACGTCTACTATTGATTAACAGACCTTGATAATTTGCCACAGTTATTCTGCTTTATCAGGCCTCAGTTTCCCCTGAAATTTGTCTCCATGACCATAAAGTTGTAAGAAACCCAGGGGATCCAGCAGGTTGTGGGAAAAATCACACCTTCTGTGCAGCTTGTGATGCCATGCAAATGAAGAGCAATTCCACTGAGAAAGAGGGGACGCAAAACTGCTTTCATCCATTTTACTGAGCTGCAACCGTCATCCTTAACCCCTGATAAACAAACAGGGCTACCTTCTTAATTTGCTTAGGGAGCAATTTAGACTTGTACAAGCCCCCCTGCTGAACTGGCAGAATGGCAGGGGTGAGAGAATGGGATGACCCAGACCTCTAAGCTGCCTTTACTTCACATTCTGCCTAACCCTGGTCATAAAACCCTTCCTGCAAATTGGAGCTCAATGGAGGAAACATGGGTTGAAATAATGCAAGTCCACCTTGAGTGCTCTTTCTAGCACCCATACGACATCTGTAGTCTTTGCAATGAGCAAGCCATTAAAAGTCTAAACTAAAAGTCTGAACTTATTGTAGTATTGTAGTGCTGCATAATTTACACACTGATTCACAGAAAAGAGAGAAGCAGTATGGTTTTATCAAAGCAAACAATGCATGAGATGGAAATTTAAGTTCATGTCACAAAAATAGCAACACTATATTGGCTGTATTCCTAGAGCGCACAAGCCAGCAGCCAATCACTAAGTTATAAATGACATGCAAACATTGTTCAAAGAGAAGATGGGACATGACAGTTTGACTGTTTGTATATGGGACATATGGAGGAACTGTTGACTTTTCCAATTGGAGCTGTAATCTTTTGTTTGCCCATGCATTTCTATGGCTGATTGTCTGAATGATCTGAACAATTACAGGCTAAATGTGTTTGCCAGCCACACGGAGCACCCTGCACCCCTCTAAAAAGATCAAAAGGGAAGATTCCCCCTCCTTCTTCATCTCCTTTCAGTCATGACAATTCAGCTGGAAAGCCAACCATAAATTTTTTTTTTTTTTTTTTTTACTTCCAGTATCTGGGACACAGTTATTCAGATACCTGAATTTCAGAGGTTAATAAATTGAAGAACAACATATTTAATCTACACACTGTAAAATTCAATAGTTTGCCTTACTTAGATTTAATTAGTTATCTTTACTTAGTTGTTATACTTACTAGGTTTTATTAAGTTACAGCTACTTTCAAGGCAAATAAAACAATTTACTTACTGTTTTGAGTGACACTTACTTAAAATATTCAAGTAGCCACAAAGGAACCAATGATATTAATAAACCAGTGAGAGGCAGCAGTGCATTAATATGTTGCTAATGTGCAACATAACAACAGAAGAAGAAGAAAAGAAAAAGAGTCTTAATAGACTTTTAGAGTCTTAATAGACCCATTTCCTCCATGTCTGCAGTTATCTTTCACTAGTTGCATTCACTCGTTTCCCAAAGTCATCTTGAATGTTGAATTTTCAATACAACTGAAATATTTGAGAGAACATCATATAAGCTAACTTCATAAATTGACGTTGATTTTTCTAAAATGTGTTTTTTTACTCACCATTATAGTATAGTATAGTGATTAGTGTTCCCTTTGTAGTGTATTTAATTTTTTGTGTTTATTAATGAACTTTTTCAACTTTCATTTTTCATAAATACCTTGAGATGTTTTTAATTGGGTTCATACAATCCTTAAATAGTGTGTAGTAATATGCTAAAGTCACACACAGACTTAAACAAGATTTTTCAAGGCAATCGGTTTGCATGCTTTTTTTAAGTAAGCCCAACTAATTTGATTTTACAGTGCAGGAACTGTTCGCACAATTATGTAAATTATGTAATTATTAATTAATACATTTTATTTGAAGAATCTTTTATCTGTCGAGCCTCTAAAGGGGAAAAAGCACCATTATAGGAGTCTGTATGACTAATGCACCATATTCCAAGTCATACAATAGCTTTGTATGAGAAACAGACACAAATGTAAGTCATTATTAACTGATAATCTTCCCCTCCAGTGAGCTGATAACTTGAGAATTGCTGTGACTGGATCATTGAGTCAATGACTTCAACTCAAGAACCGGATCAGTCCAAGTTGTGAATGAATCACTAGGAATGTTTTTAACAGGATCAGTGATTCACTGAAAAGATCCAACTCAAAAGACTGATTCAAATTGAATTAAACATCTCTTATGAATGTACCAAACAGAGCTTTTCCATGAATATGACTTCAATCTTGTTGTTCTGTTTTGCATTATAGCACCTG